GTCTGGCAACTGCTAACGATGGATTTCCATGGTCCAATTTCATCAACATCAAAACGTGGCAACAAATACATCATCTCGCTCACCGATGTCCTATCCAAATTCGTCGTCGCTCGAGCGGTACGGGATTCTCCACTCAGACAGCTGCTCGCTTCTTTAAGGAAGATATCATTACAAAATATGGAACACCTCGATGTATTCTGACGGACAACGGAAGTCATTTCACAGCCAATTGGTCACACTCATTGGTCACTATATGTATGTACGTCCGTCACTGCCACATGACTATATGTATGTACGTCCGTCACACTCACTGGTCACTATATGTATGTACGTCCGTCACACTGCCACATGACTAGAGATGTAAGCCGAGCAGTTAGGCGGCGGCGGCGGCGGCTGTAAAAATTTAAATTTTTTTCTGCTCACACGGCGGCGGCTCGGACTGTATAGCCATCCAACGGCGGCGGCTAGAAATTTTAAAAATGATTAATCTTTTCAAAAATAAGCAGTATCTGTTTTTTTATTTTCATATCTGAATATTAATATCTTGAAAAACATATATACACATAAAACAACTGTATATACCATGACTTGAAACTATACATACAAATAAAGAGACACTAATAATATATTTAGAAAGACACATTCACCAAAACATAATGGCAATGAAATAAAGCAAAAAATAAAATGTTAAACTTTTTTAAGTAAATCATAATTATCATGAATCATTTGTATTTTACCAACATTTTCCGGTGCTAACATCGTTCTTTTAGCATTTAGAATTAAACCTGTTGTTGAAAAGACTTGCTTTTTCATATTTTGTGTAGATTCACCTGTATATACAACTGATAGATTACGTTTTATACTAGGAGATGTACTTGATGAAGTTGCAGACGAAGATGTTAATGATGATGAGGTTGTTTGTGTTGTATTTGCTTGTGAGACATGATCGATTTTAAATTTCTTAATCATATCCAGCAATATTTTTTCTTTCGTGTTGACTTTGAATTAAATAACGATTAATATCGATTTTCAATTGTGATGGATCAAGAAGAAAAGCACATGTATTAATTGGTGTTATTGGAAATCGTTTATCTAGATTCTGAGTTAGTAAAAGTTTCAATTCTTCAATTACTGAAGATTCTATTCCGATTATGTGTAGTATCGATTCAATTTCCTAAAATGAAAAAATAATTAAATGAATATATCTGCTTAACTTAATCTCTTCCTACATGTTGTATGATGAAATATATAGTTTTCTTTTGTGCAAGTTATAAATATCTTTTATTTTATTAAAAGATATTTACAACTTATAAATATCTTTTAATACTATCTACTCAAACATTTTTAGTTAATTTTCATTCAGAACAATTCAAAGCTCAGCACTTGATACTTATTAAACGTAATAATAAACATAAACTCATTGTTGGATAAGATTTAGATGCGGATAGAATAGTTGTGGTTGTTTCGAATGAAGAAAGAAATTCTACTAAATCATGGACGATTTGATTTTCTGTAGGAGATAAGATTAAATCATATTGTTTTAAACGACGTAATATAATTTCAACTTCAGATATATTTGATGCATATGAACGAAGCATAATCAAAATCGTATTCCAACGAGTTGGGATACGTTTTTTTAATGTATGAAATTCATCGGAATTAGTTGTATTTGTTAATGTTAAACAATTAAATTTTGATGAACATTGATTGTTTCTTGAGTTTAATTCGAAATCATAATTTTCCTTGTCCTTATTCAATTGATATAATNATCAGCATCTAAAACTTCACCAGCCTTATTTATTACTTGTAATAAATCATTTTTTGTTTGATCATTTAATCGAATAAATTCTTCTTCAAGTTCATGTTGACGATAACGAAGTTTACTAATTATCGTCTGGACTTTATTCAATAAATCTGGAACACCAGTTAATTTAGGAAAACAATCGACCATTAGCAAATTATGAATTCCATGTGCAATACAATACATGTGGATCACCTTCAACAGTTTCCATGCTTTACGCATATTTGAACCTTTATCAGAAACCTATCAAAAAGTCGAAAGATATAAAATAATTTTAAAAAAATCTATGTATGTTTTACTCACTACAATTATATCAATTGAATTTAAATGAAACTCATTCATAACAATAGAAAATAGATCTTTTATAGCTTCTCCAGTGTGTGTTCCATCAAATGGTTCTATTTTTAAACTGTATTTATGTAAATATAAATTTGAATCAAGATAATGTATGGTGAAACAAATGTAAGAACGATGTTTATATTTGTCACATCAAATATCACATGTTACTGTTGGAAATGGCGAAGCTGTTTTTAACTGTTCATTTGTTTTGTCAACACATACATCGTATATTTTGTTAAGGTTAATGGGTGATAACATAGTTCGGGAAGGAATATCTTCTTTTGAATTAACAACTTTATTACAAATTAAAAAATCTTGAAAACTTAACCATAAGTAGACTTAATAGGTAATATTTAATTGCTAAAAACACACACCTTCATTTTCCACAATTGAAAAAGGAAGTAAATCTCGACAACACATTAATGTTAATTGATGTCCGAGTTGTTGTTTTAATTGTG